CGTGTCAGATTTTGGTTATTTTGGGAGCTCGAGATCAACTCCTATGTTTGGTGTCATGCAGTTTTGAACAGAGTAGCAGCATGGAGGTCGGATCGTCACCAAAATAAATAAATAAGTGGTCCGAAAAAGGTTAATGACAAAAAAAAATACACATAGCCTTCCTCAGGCAGTGTGTTTGTACCGGGGACAGGAGACCCCCTCTTGATGAGAAACTCTAAGAAATGATCAGGGGATCCCTCCGGAGTGGAGTCATGACGGCTGGATCTGAATTATGTTGTTGTATTTGGCGGTTTGTGTCCCGGCTGTCGATCAGCTGTGCGCAGCGTCTCCACTGCAGCCTGTGCATCTCAACCCCCGCAGCAACTCTATATCCACGAGTTAAAGGAAATACAACTAATGTGTTGTGTTATATTTGTAAAATTTACCACATATGGTGCTCTTAGTTTCCATACCTGTCCTGTGTTTTACGAGCGACTTATCAAGTCTTCTTAGTCTTGGCAAACGGCATAAAACACGATTAAACATGTATTAAACATAATAGAACCATGCTCGTATCTACAACCTATAGAAATGAAAAACGGCGTCAGTTTAGACGTAATTCTGCCCTCCTGCTTACCGCATCATTTATGAGAAAACATTTCATAACATTAACACAACATATTCGAGGTGGTTTTAAATAACATATCCGTATTTATTTATTTCTCCCAGTTATGTTTTTGTCTGCACTGAGGAGTCTCAAACAGGCGTTTGTTAAATCATTTTAAGATTGGCTTTAATCAATGTTTGAAAAATGAATTCTTCATATATGATAAATGAGAGGTAACATTTTATTTATGGTATTATTTCCACATATTTCTCTCCATTCTTCCTTCTGCCAACGGTGTCGCAGTTTCTCGTCTCTCCCGTTTTTGTGCTTAGTGCGTACGCATGGGTTAGAGTTTACGTGGAGGACCGCATGTTTTCCCGTCAAGTTAGTATTTTATAAATCGCAAACATTGCGTAGAAACTGCCGTACGCCATTTTTTGAGCGTATATCCCTTTATAAATGAGGCCCCTGATATTAAGTGTAACATTTAGCTGCTTAAGAGACAGATATATACCTCAGGAGATAGTGGGGACCAAAAACAGAGCAAAAAGGAAAGCGAATATTGGACTTGCATTCACCAGGCATCCTGCCCACACAAACATGAATCCAAGTTAAATAAAATGTGGTTTGTTAAAACAATACTATTTAAAGGGGACCTATCATGCAAAATGCATTTTTGTACGTCTTTTATACATAAATATGTGTCCCTGGTGTGTCAGGGAACTCACCAAGTGTCAGAAAACACAACCCTCTCTCTTTTCCTCCATACCCAAATCTCTAAAAACGGAGCTTCAACGGATCTGATACAGACTGATACAGATTTGAAATTGTTCTGACGTCAGAAACGGGGTGCTCCGCCTATATGGGCAACTCTCCACCTATCAGGGGAATGAGAGGTTGCGTGGCATGGTAACAGCATGGTAACATGACGCTCGTGCCTCGCCCCCCTCCTTTGCAGGGGGGCGTGGTAAGCTGCATTTCATTTGCCACAGAATCAGCCCTTGTGAAGACAGGGCTGGAATAGAGCAAATCGAGCGAAATGAGGCATGGCTAAAATACATGATCTGTTTGGTATTTTGAAAAAAAAACTTCACAGACATGTTTTATGTAGGTATGGCCCTACAATATATTATTCAAATATAGCATGATAGGTCCACTTTAAAGACAGCTTTCAACAGAGCTAGCAACAGAAACGTTGTTATTTGCTTGGCAACACATTACTCCACTATTTCTGTACAAACTCTTATTTGCTGCTATATCAATACTCTGTATGCCCTACAGAGCCTTTAACCAGACTGCATTGTATTTACATAAAAAATAAGACATTGTTACTCTTTTTTTTGTGACAAAGCTTGGCCATATTTTTAGTCACTTATCGATGAATGCACTTCCTTTCTGTAAAGTTCTAAAACTACAATTACTTTAGTAAATAGATAACATTCGTCCATAGACAGTCTCTGGAGCAACCAATATCTAAACCGTTTTTCTTTACTCCTCTAATGACAGGTTTATTGAGCAGGCCATTGAGAAGCTGGGCAAAAGGCACAAGGAGCACATCCGGATGTATGACCCGAGGGGGGGGAAGGACAACGTGAGGCGTCTCACAGGACACCACGAAACCGCCAGCATCCATGACTTCTCTGCTGGAGTGGCCAACCGAGTCGCCAGCATCCGCATCCCCCGCCAGGTGGGTCAGGAGAAGAAAGGCTACTTCGAGGACCGTCGACCTTCAGCTAACTGTGACCCGTACGCCGTGACCAAGGCCATCGCATACACCTGCCTGCTTCATTCAGAAGACAGGGAGGAGAGCGAAGAGGAGAACATACCTGCTATGTAGAAAAATGTACAAATATACATCTGCCTGCTAGTTAGATGAAAAACGTGGAGACATAAAGGATTCAGGTTTATTGATGTTGCTATATTTATTATGAGATACATTTTCACATGATACAGTACTAGTAAATGTTTCTAGAAACAGGGAATATCACTTTAGCCTATGTATTATTATTACATGTGTTGGGTAAAGTGAAATAAAGACACAGCAGTGCTCTACTTGCCGGGATCGCTTGTTTGTTTGTTTGTTTGTTAAATATTAGAATACAAAATCAAATGTAAAGTAAAAATTCAAAAAACTAGGGATTAGCAGTATTGGTATTCAATACTGAGATTTGATTAATGTAATAGGCTATTGAAAAAGATGTGAAGGATTTTCTTTCACATGTTTTTAAAGGTGGTTGAGATTTTAGTGTTCTCTGTCAACCTCAAATTAACAATGAATCTTTGTTATTGTTTGGTCATCATATTCACATTACAAATTAATTTAAAAAGTGATTCTTTACCCTCATCCTAACAAAAGTGATAAAACAAACAAAGTGTTATACTAATTATCAGTGTTTTGTCATCTTTATATCCAACTGTAACAATTATGAATGAAGATTCAAACCTTGAAACTAATAGGTACAGCCATATTGGTTTAGATTCTGATTCCCTTTTTGATTGCCAGACAAATCCAATGACCTACAGTTGAATATAATCTGACCAAATCTGCTAGAGTAGTCTCACAGATTACCACCAGGTGGAGCCAGTATAGTTCTCCTCTCACAGTGCCTCATCATGTCAGTGCATTTAAACAATTGTAATTCACAATGCAGTGAGAACCACCTGGAGAGAGGTCAAGGTGTCACAACAGACCAACACCGTCTATGTGGCGCTTTGAGAATAATGATTGACATGTGGTTTGGAATAATGGAGCATTCAACCACACAAATAAAAAGATTGCAGGCAGAAATGTGTGATGAATGGGTCTCTCTATGTTCCTCTCAGTATGGCAGCCTGATGCTCGGTGCACCTGACATATGGCATTTCAATCTCATCCCGTTACATCCCGACATACGATCCTCTCACTTGTAGCCCGGCAGTGTCAAAATGACTCAGTATTCAAGCTGTTTGAGGGGAGGTTTTTGCAACATGAGTAAACAGAAAAAAAGGAATTCTGAAGAGCAGATCAGATGCCAGCACATACCAGATTTCCATGGATACAGACAGTAACTTGGCAACTGTGATGTTTGTCTGTTGTCATGGAAACATCCGTCTAACAGAGCTTTTAGCAGGAATATCAGGAGCCTGGGGAGATGAGGGCATGGAGAGAGAATAATGTTCATATCTGTGTGTTTAATGTCATTTTAGTTTTTAATGTAAATGCCATATATACTAGACCCATGATAAAGGCTGTATGTGAAAATCGTACAGGGTGTCATCTTTTTTAATGCAACACAGCCTTCATAACTTTCACTGCTCGAGCTGCTGATGCTGCACATTTAGACAGGAAATCCAGTCAGAAACAGGAAGTGCTACAAGAAGTAAGAAGTAATGTGAGATATTATCATGTACATAGTTTTGTCTTTAGAGATTTCATAGTACAGCTTGACAGTGTAATTACTTTAATGTGTGTTTATAAGTTTGAATGTTTTACTCCTCTTGGGAAATTCAAAGATTTAAGATTCAAAAGATTTAATGTCATATCAAATTTCGGCTAATTTTTGTTATTTTGCATGTCTGAATGTAAAATGCAGCATACATAATTATATGTTTACACATTTGACATTTTATCATATTCTAAATTTGATATTATAGTTGTATCCTCAAATTGAACGTTTTGATTGTTTTTTCTAGTCCAACAAGTAATTACATGTGTTCTATTCAATGGTTAAATGTATGTTTTAAGATCGTAGTTAGTCATTTCAAACATATAAACTAATACATGTTTATTATATCTCTAAGAACTTGGAGAAAAATATCCCTCCATTACTTTCAGTGGGTTGTCAGAGTGACGTCACTGGTCTCGTGGGGGGGGAGGCTCGCGGCAGCAGGTGAGCGCGCAGCATCGGCTCCTCGCTGTTTCAGAAACGCAGAGCGGCGGAATAGCGGAGCCATGGGAAAGCTTCAAGAATTTGATATCACTTTTACCAACAACAAGGTGGTCTACGGTCCCGGAGAGTCTATTAGCGGAAATGTGAAAATACGAACCGGCCACTCGTTGCAGTACAAAGGTAGGCAGCTTTTCTTCAACATGTTTATGAGAGAGGAAACATGTTGCCAGCGTGTCTTTCACGAGTCACTGAAGCGCGCGACGCAGGCTCGAGTCGATGTAAATAAACTTTATTTAAACCTCTTTGATGTTGCTGGACACAAGGATGAACTCAAAGCTAGACATCAGGCGCGTGGTTGTTTCTCAGAAGGCTTAAGGCTCATTTTTGCAACTGTGGACGTGATAGAAATGTTGGTGCGGACATTAGGGTTTTTGCTGGTGCTGGGCTGCGAGTGTTTCCACCCTCCACATGACACCAGCTCTCTGTTGTTGTTTTGGTTAGCTCGGTGCTGTCGACTGAAACGACTGAAACCCACATCCTGGTTCGCATCCTGCTCGTGGCAACATGTTGCTTCCATGTTTTTTGAAAATGTTGTGGAGAAGTGTTCAAAAAGCAGAACAGTGTTAGACACCTTTTTATTACTTTATTAAAACCATATTTAGGCTTGGGGGGTTACTTAAAACATTGAATTGTGTTACAATTACCTGTAAAACATGTGTAACTTAAAAGGTAATGTAAACTGATTTCCTTTTGTAACATAACAACACTGTAACCATAGATATCTTGTAAATCAATCAATCAGTGTTTTAAAAAAAAAAGAAAAACCTGCCTTTCATTAAACATATTCAGAAAGTAGTAGAAACACATCACCACATAGTAGACCTACACAAAGTTAAAAAAGCAAATTACAATCTGGATAAACAGAAATGGCTCCGTGGTAGTATAACACGTACAGAATTTTGAAACATTTCCACCCAGTGAAAGCATTTTTCGAATTAAAAGACACAATGATGGATTCGAAGATTCTCTATGGTTTCACTCAATACTTTTTTTCAGTCAGGAAGTGTTCTTTATATATTTTATAACACAAATATTGTTATCCTGCTAGTAATTCCCTTTTTTTCCTTTTAAATGTGCCAGTAATCTGATGACATATTTGTAATCCATGCAACTGTAAGGGAATACCGTTTTGTATTCTAATGATGTAATCCTGTGACATGTATTCAGTTACTCCCCCAGCCTGACCATATGTCTTAAGTCCGCTCATGTTCCACAGTAAAGAAGGACATTGGAAACTTCTGATGCCAACATCTTAGACACACTTGTGGGAATAGCTGCTAATGAAGGGTAAAGCAGGTGAGCAAGGTGGAGATCAGCTTTTGGAGTTGCCATGGAGGTACACAAAGAATCTATTGTATGCAAGCGATCCTTGTGGGGATTCTTGTCTGATAATAGAGCTGCTATCAACTTCACCTAAAGCTCATTTTCAAAGGGAGTCTGCCACAGAGGTATGTTAATTTACAAGGGACGTTAATTAAGAGGTTTCCTGGAAAATGCAATGATTGTCAGGTGATTTTTGGCAACAAAAAACCCTTAAAGTTCAAATGTATTACTGGGTTCAGACACAAACTGCAAAACAGCAGTGATATTTATTTACATATTTATTACATTAGCCCAAAAACAACACCTTAAAAGAAATTTGAAGGGTTTTGATTAGGATTCTGTGAGACCGCTTTGTACGTCTCCTGTTTTTGTGTCATATTGAGAAAATGATACATAAGATATTAATGATGATGGTAATAATAATAATAATAATAGATGACATTTGTATGGCGCCTTTCACGGGACCCAAGGCCGCTTTACATGGTGAACAAACAAACAAACAAACAAACAAAAGGGGCAAATAATAAAGTAAAACATTATATAAATAGCAGTAGGAGTGGAATATTGGCTTGTTACCTAATTTATTTAGAATTTTCTGTCTTTATTTGATCGACAATGTCCTAAATGTCAGGGTAATAATAACCCAGAAAAAAACATATCCATATTAATGGGATCGCTACAATGATACAGATCAAGAGTGGTTGCACTTCTGGGGCCATTGGCATTTTTTTTTTAATCATTTGTATCCATCAACGCAAACATCAGCAGACCTCTTTAACTGAAGACTGATTTTCCATCCTTTTATTTGCCATCATTTCCTGGCTTGTTGTAGGGCTGCTCAATTAATCGTATTTTAATCGCAATTACGATTTTGGCTTGCAACGATTATGAAAAAAACATAATCGAATTAAAACGATTATTTATTATTTATTTTAATTAATTTGTTTTTAATTAATTTTTATTTAAAAAAAAAAAGAAAAAATATTGTTTTTTCAGTTGAATTATACTTAAAGTTCAGGGTAATCAACTGTTAAAAACATACTGTTCACATTTGTTTTTCTTTCAATAAATTGATGTTTTCAAAGTAAATGGATAATCGTTTTTAATAATCGTGATATCAATTATTGACCAAAATAATCGAGATTATGATTTTTGCCATAATCGAGCAGCCCTAGCTTGTTGTACCTGTATGTAAGGCATAGTGAGATTAATATGAATTAATATGCCATAATGCACAGGCTGACCTGCAGCAGATGGCGTTCAGCAGAGGTCAGATCTTACACAGTAAGGTCACACGGTTGCGGTGAGCCTGTGCCTGACACCAGGCGTTTATCCCCAAATTAAACCATTCTCGGTGGCTTTGGGCGAATAATGGCTCTCCTTAAAGAGGAAACCGACTGTTTACTTGAAACAAGAGTTTCAAGTAAACAGCTCAATACATGCCAGATACTGAAACGAGCAGGTGGAAGGGTTTTGATTTAGGATTTGCATTAGCTACAAACAGATGAATATTTGTTGCATTTACTGGCAGTCTGTCCATCACTTTCATTTCTCTGTAAATCCACATTTCATACCTGCAACAAAGTGAAAAACCACAGTGTTCTTTCAAGGCTCTGCACTCGGCATCACAATTGATATGAACGCTGAAACTACATACATCATTAATACATTCTTTTTATGAATATAATACATTTGAGTATAATATTTCTTAGGGTTTATTACGTTGTTTGATAGGAAGACTTCTTTGAAAGTAGGTAAAACTCATAATTTTTTACTTTTGAGTTGTCCGCTCTGCTGTACATTCTTATACACAGATTATTTGTATGACAGGTACTCTATAACCTCAAGGACAGAAAGGACAAGAGTCTAACCTGTTAATACATATTTTACATTTTCATAGTCATGGAACCTTTCATTGCAGTCTGCAAAGGTTTTATATTTGTTACATACAACAGATGGGACATGTTTCACACATTTGTTGTCTCAATATTACTTCTGGCACTCTCTTATCAACAACTAAAATGCCTTTATTGTAATGGCATTGTTGTATTGTGTTGGCAAACAACTGGCACATTTGTGAAATACTTCCTGAGAAAGACTTGATCATTGTTTAAAATTGTTCCTTTGAGTTTTCTTGTGATTGTTCTGCCTGCGTGTTTTGATTCCCAAAGAGCATTCCAGGAAGTGCTTCTTCCCGAAACCAATTTGATTTCAAGATAGCATAAGTCGAGTTCTTTCTTTGCCTTTCTTAGTCAAGACATTCTGCCCTGATATATTTTATAGTTTACAACATAACAAACAATGATCGTTTTGTCCTTCAAATAATATTGAATCACACTTTAAGCTTACCAGTGTAGTGTGTTTTACGGGGTGATGTATAAGATATTGTTTTTGCCAGTGGACCATAAGTCCCTCAGTCCTCCAATCACTTCCTGGTTGAAGGTACTCCAACTGCAGAAACTAAAGAAGCTCCCTGTCTGGCTCTCAGCCGGTCCGTTAATGTACTGTAAATGCAGAGGCTGCATTATGTGTCCAGTGACATCACCCCTCTCCACCACCGCCGCTGATGATTCCTTCAATCAGACGGCATGTAGCATGCTGAGGCAGGAACATGTGATTGTGTGCTTTGTGGGAGCGTGAGCATTTCCTGTTTTTCTTCCTGAGAAAACAATACAGAGAAGTTAAGGGTTTGTTACTGTACCTAATTGTATTCATCTTTTGGATTATTTTAGGGACAATGTCCTATTAAGTTAGGTGATGAGTCATAAGGGTACAATTCCAGAGAAACCCTATCCGTATTCCTGGTAATCGCAGTGTATACTTCTAAAGAATATCTACTACGAATGTAAACTGCAACAACAACAACATCCTTTAATAAGGCAGAGTTGTCAAATCCCCCCACAATGGTTAGCTTTCCTTCAGTATTTATTTAAAGGACAGTGCACATTAATCCACATTGCTGTAAATGAGCCAGTATTAGCCATCAGGCTAATTTTCAACTGTTGTCCTTTCATTAGTTGGTTTTTGAAAGCTTTAGTTTTTAGTTTTTTTTAGTTGGTTTTTGAAAGCTTTATTTCCACAAGAAATGTGCATGGCGTCCATTAAAAGCCAACACCCTCCGGACATTTTACTGAAGAGGAGGACTGATTTTCAGGGCATGACCGCTTGCATGGTCTCTAAGTGGGTTGTAAAGTTTTTGATATCCTTTGTGTGAATCATGGCTCAACCACATATATCCATTACATGGATTGTGGCACCATATGAGCTGTATATGAATCCTGCATTGTGAGTAAGGTGTGTACAGTTGTACGATGAAATGACTACAGAGGAATAATAATAAGCATACCTAGTTCATACACCTTTTCTGGGACGCTGACTATTGTAGAGGCCAAATGTGCAGACTCACTCGATTATTGATGATGGAGACCATTAGACAGAATGTCTATCGATCAGCCTCCTCACAAAGAAGGTTGTTAAAGCACAGTCATGAATGAAACTAGATGAATGAGCAACTTACTGTACTGTACTCAACCTTACTTCCAGTAGACACATACATTTAAAGGTGGGGTATGTAAGTTTGAGAAACCGGCTCGAGATACACTTTTTGTTATATTCCATGGAATGCTCTTAACATCCCGATAGCAATGAATATCTTCAGATATTCATTGCTATCGGGATGTTAAGAGCATTCCATGGAATATAACAAAAAGTGTATCTCGAGCCGGTTTCTCAAACTTACATACCCCACCTTTAAATGNTATCCCTTTGTGGTTCTACTTTTTTAGATTAGGTAGAGT